GTACATTCTTTGCTTCAGAAATTCTCAATTTTTTGTTTTACTTTTTTTCTGTTTTTGTTTTTATGGTAACTGGGGATTCAACCCAGAGGTGTCCTTCCACTGAATGTATCCCCAGCTCTTTAAAAAAATTTTTTTATTTTGAGATAGAGTCTAATTGAATTGCCCTGGTTTGGCCTCTGCTTCCTGAGTAGCTGGAATTACAGGCACATACTGTTAATGCTGGCTGCCCCACCACCACCATGCCCCCCTTTCTTTCTATCTGGATACTGGTTTGCTTAATTTTTGGTCAGGATTTGGTACTAATTTTCATCCTGGGTGAAAAACTAATTTAGACACTAGATTAATTTATTAACAGAGTCTCTGTTGTGTTTCTTGTTGCTTTGGTTAATTCTTCATCCCCTTTGTTTAAATATAAAATTCAGGGCAAAAGAAATGGAGAACTTTGGTTAATCAAACTAGTTGATTAAAAAGAAGTCGTTTTTGCACATCTATAGAACAGCAATTTGTTTCTTACTTCCCATTTTTGAGTTGCTAATTCATTTGTTTTCCTTGTTTCATGATTTCATTATTCAAAGCTATTTTTAAAGAAAAAGAAGTTGAGTATGGAATAATCAATAATCATTGAAATAAGTTTCTAATCCTGTTTTAACAAATGTCTCTCAGACATTTCCTCATGATGCATGTGGATACCTGGCTAAGGATTGTTTTAGAAAAAAATATGATCAAGTGCCATGAAGTTTTATTTAACTAGAATTGTTAGGGTTAGACCAGATGAATGCCCAGTAGCATTTTAAAGAATCAGTGCTATAGTTTGAGCCTTTTTGATATAAGTCAGTGTGTTACAGGTTTCTAGGAATCAACAACTTGAGAGATTATTTTCCCCTTTTAAAAAGTGTACTGAAACATATCTGAGATGATCTAGTTTCTAAAACTGGTTAATAGGATTTTGGCATCAAGTATTTGGACAGTTTAAATTGTCATAATACATACATATTTTCTGCATTATTTCATTTGGTTTCTTCTTAAGAAATAGAACGCACAGTTTCCTGATCCATTAACACTGAAACTTCCTTTTAGAAATAATTTTTTTTCTCCCAAAGTTATGGTATCAGCAGTGTGTGTGTGTGTGTGTGTGTGTGTGTGTGCGTGTGTGTGCGTGTGTGTGTGTGTGCGTGTGTGTGCGTGTGTGTGTGTGTGCGTGTGTGCGCGCATGTGCTTACATATGTATGTGTGTGTCTTCCCCCACACCCCTCAGTGTTGGGCATTAAACCTGGGGCCTCAAGCATGCTTTACTTGAAATGTTTTACCGCTGAGCTATGTCCCCAACCAAAGATAGAAAAGGGATCCTTTTGATCCCACCACTTTTACTTTGCTCATCTTATTTTTATTTTCTTTTTTAGTATTAACGGGAACATCCATAGTAGTGCAAAAACTTTCACAATGAAATCTGAAGCCAAGGATGGAGAGGAGGAGAGTCTACAAACTGCTTTCAAGAAATTAAGAGTGGATGCATCAGGGTAATTAAACCTAATATATTATTTACTAGATTTAAATTTACTAGATTTAAATTAGAATTATTTACTAGATTTAAATAGTCCTCTCCCTTTAAAGAGCTTTTCCTTTTCCAACACTCATTATTATTTATAGAATAAATCGGTAGTAATAGTATAACATTCTACCAAATTCCGCACAGTATTGTTTTACTTCTAAAGTAAAGAATCTTATGTTAAATATGAAAAATATCAGCTCATTTGTGCTTTAGCATTCAGTGTTTTGATTTTCTTTAACTTTGAGGAGGCCCCCTTTATCTCTATATAAAGAGATTATATCAGGGATACATCTCAAGGGAATCACAGTATTTTTCACTAAATGTAATTGGCTCAATCGTAATCTATGAAGACATTGTTGATTTCATGGTCTTTGATAGCTGACTCTATCACTATGGAAACCTCTATTCAATAGGGTTCTGTCACTGAGATCAATAATCTTGGACCCTTTGGCCAAACTAATTAGAGCACCTGCAGACCAGCTGCTCTCTGAATGTTAATATTTGACCCTTTGCAAAATGTTCTGTGCAAGTCTCCTTTCACTCCAGTTATTTTCCCAAAGCCAGAAGAAATCTTAAAATTTTAATGGAAATGAGAATTTTTCTTTTTATGAATAAAAACCAGAATAGAACACTCCACCATAAATAGTTAATACTTAACTCTCCCCAAAACACTGGGTTAAGTACTTCATGCTCATAATTTAATCCTCATTACCACCTTAGAAAATTAGATACCAATGTCATTGATGAGACTCATATAAAGTCACTTTCTACTTGTCACATGGAGCCAGGATTTGAACCCAGACAGTCTGACTTTGAACTTGTGATCTTAACCATTTCTTTGTATAGTACATTAAATAAAGATAATATGAAGAAATGCATGTAGATATAGCATAAAGTAAAAATTAAATTGATGTTTGTCATTATAGGTATCTGCCTACTGCTAGCACTATTTTTGGCCTACCAAGTGAGGAGATTTATGCTAATAGATTTGCACCACAAATGATAAGGTGCTCGAATCTGCTTCTGTGATACTTCAAGAAAGTTTCTCCTTGTTTTTCTGATACTTCATCTTGCCATTTTGTATCAATACTTTGATAAGCCATTTTGGGAAATGGAAATAGAGCACAAAAGCAGATAGTTCTAGATTGTGGTTGTAGTATATTGCTTTGTGATTGTTGGTACAGAAATAACTTTTTAAAATCAAGAAGATTCTGGGAAAACACAAACACCCACAGACAAACAGATATATAATTCCCTTCATGTGCAAACTTTAAGGTAATCTCTTGATGCCCAGACTTACTTCCTTATGTTTTAAGAAATTGGAATGTGAAATTGAGTCATTTTAGTGTTGCTAAAAATTACTTGGTTCATTATAAAATATCTTGCAAAGAATCTGTATAATATATGCTTGAAAATTATGGTATTTGTAGCATGTGATCTGCCTTGAGAAAAATTATTGGAAGAGGAGCAATGAACACTTGAGAAAACAAACAGTGATTCATTAGCATGACTAAGCAGAATAAGACTTGCATAGTTCAGCATACATTTTTTAGTTATTTCATATTGTTGCTGATTTACAAGGGAAACTTCTTAGAGACTGACTCATAAGGTAACCTGGCCTTGCCAGGAATTTAGCATGATCCTGTTCAACAGGTTTCAATTCCTAATGGTGTTTGTCTTATCAGGACACATGTCTAAATGTTTTTTACAAAACAACATAATCCTTTCTATCTAAGTATAAAATAGTAACATGTTTGTTAGAGAAAAATTTACAAAAAATTAATAAAGGAAGGAAGGAACAGTCACAATTTATCATAATCTTATCATCTAGACCATCGGTGCTTAATACCATATACGTGTTTTGCATAATTGAGATCATAATGTATATAGAAGTGTTATCCGTGTTTTCTTCTAATATAAATATGCTTTCATTTCATTAACAGTTCTTTGTATATTTTTAATGAATTCCTAATGTTTCATTGTATAGTTTTCCCATAATTTATATAGTACAGCATTTTTCTCTTGTTGAATGTTTAGGTTATTCCCAAGTTACTTTTTTAAAATTATGCTTTAGGGGCCAGGGTTATGGCTCAGTGGTAGAGCGCTTGCCCAGCATGCATGAGGCACTGGGTTCAGTTTCTGGCACCGCATAAAAACAAGGAAAAATAAAATTAAAAATAAAAAACAAAATAAAATTATGCTTTAGTGAATACCTTTTAATTTAGTACATTAATGTCTCTTTCTAAAGAATTTTTATTATCCATAGCATATATAGTAAAAGCTATGTGTGTTTGTGTGTTTTATATTTTGAGTGTGTATATTAAATCTGGAAGGACTTATACCAAAAATGTTAGTATTGGTAGTCTCTAGATTGTGAGGTTATGGATGGTTCTCCTTTTTTCTCTTTTATGTTTCTTTACTAGGAACTTATATTTTTTTAATTTTATTTATTTTAAAAATATTTTTTAGTTATTTTGGACCTTTATCTCTTTATATGTAGTGCTGAGAATTCAACCCACCGCCTCACACATTCTAGGCAAGAGATCTACCACTGAGCCCTAGTCCCAGCCCCAACCTGTATACTTTTAAAATAAAGATTTAACGCAGAGAAATATTTTGTTTATTATGAAAATTATAATATTTTTCTAAAAATTTTATGGCATTTAAATGTGTTCATTCTCAAGTTAAATTGAGTCTTTTAAAGATTTTGCTGCTAAACCTAATTATGGGCTCTGGTTTGCCTACAAAAAATGAGTGGCCATTGTCATTAGTATTCTCTCTGAATGTAAGGCCTGATCTGCCCCAGATAAACAGCCTAAAAGTCTATTTATATCCTGCTGTTGGTTACACTTAAGGATCATTCCTTGGCTTATGATTTTGCAACTATGGGCTTTTGAAGATCCTCTAAATGTGGTTTTGAGAAAAGCCAAGCAATTTTTTTTAAATGAAGAACAAATCCAATTTTTTTTCAAATACTTTTTAGATGTCAGTGGACCTTTATTTTATTCATTATTTATATGCAGTGCTGAGAATCGAACACAGTGCCTCACACATGTTAGGCAAGTAGTCTATCACTGAGCCACAACCTCAACTTTTGAGAAACATAAACTTAGAAAAAAATAAAGATATTGATAAAAATTGTGTTTGGGTTGGTGATGGCAGTAAGTTCTCATTGTAGGTTTTCTACAGCAGTAAACTTTGTTCTTATCTTCAGGTCTATAGTATCGCTGTCTGTTGGAGAAGGCACGAGTGTCAGAGCATCAGTCAGAACAGCAGTAGATGATACCAAACCTAAAACCTCATGTGCATCTAAAGACAGTTGGCATGGGTAAGAGCTTCTTATTGAGGTGATTTTTATCCCAGTCCCTTAAAGTACTATGGGACTTTCCTTCCTGAGTGTCCAGAAAAAGAAATGCCACAATATAGAATCCACCACCCAGCAATTAGAATAGAGAAAGACCTTAGTTGTAAATTTGTCAAGACTTTCTGTTTGGCCTGATCAGGGTCAATTTTTATAAATGTTTTATGTGTGTTTGAGAAGAATGAGTTTTCTCCATTTTTTTTTTTAAATTCTATGTCCGTTAAATTAGGCTTAAAATGTATTACTTTCAATTTTTTTGTTCAGTTTGACCTATCAAGAGGTATGTTGAAATCTCCCTCATTGGAGTAAATTTATCTGTTTTTCCCTTAAGTTCAATGTTTTTGCTTTCTTTGTTTTGGAATTATTAGGTACATAAAACCTAGGTCCATTCAAGTTTTAGAGTTTTTTCTTCACTGGTGAATTGAAACTTTTATATAGTTTTATAATGACATTTGTCTTAAAGTCCGTATTGCCTGGAATTACTTTAACTAGCCCTGTGTTTTGTTTTTGTTTTATTCCCTATCAGGGATTGAACTCAGGAGCATTTAACCACTAAGCCACATCTCCAACACTTTTTTAAAATATTGAGACAGGGTCTTGTTGTTTGCCTCTTCCCACCTTCCAAAAAATAAAGGGTTTTATTTGTTTTTTTCCCTCTGTCACTTACCCATCTACTGGTTTGAAAATTATACATTGTTTTTATTCTTTTAGTAATTAGCCTTGAAATTTTAATCATCTTGCATGTTTTTAACAAAGACGAAAAAGTTAATGCTATAAATCTCTTCTTTAGAACTCTTTTTCTCTTATAGCCTCACTTTCATGGTTTAACTGCTCAATATTTTAGTTTTGTTAGTTCTTTTTAATCTTATGTTTTGTTACTGTTATTTAAAATGACAACATGTGTTTATGTTTATCTACATGTTTATAGTTTTTTTGCTTGCTTTTTTGTATCTCAGACCTTCCATACAGGATCCCTTTCTTCGTAAGGTAGTTCCTTTAGTGAAAATCCGTTCTTTAGCAAAAGACCCCTTGGATTGCATAACCCCACAGAAAATGCATTTGATTGGAGCCCCCTGAGCTGGGGATATAGCTCAGTGGTAGAGCACTTGCCTACTATGTACAAAGTCTTGGGTTCCAATTCCAGCACTACATAAATATGCAGACAGATACTTATGATCGGAGCCTCCTGGGTTATATAACATGATGTCCTGTTGGTAAATGTACTTGGTTTTCCTGAAAATATCCTTTTCATCCTTGTTTTTGAAAAGTAGATGTGATATACCTGATAGGAGAGATGGGCATGCTGGGATCTGGGTGTCATTGAGACAGAGAGTAAAACCGAATCTGGAGTTTCTCCCTACCCACCTGTTCTACCAGGCCTTCCCTTTCAGGCTATTCATTTCATCCTGAGACTGTCTAAGCAAATGAACACAAAGTATTTACTTTCTCTTGGCACCTGAAGATACTATTCACAGTCTTCTGGCTTCATTGTGTTGACATTAAGTCTTTTTTTAATTGTTGTTCTGTTTGAAACAATCTGACTTGTTTCTGCCTCCTTTTAAGATCTTTCTGTTGTTTTTGTTGTTCTACAGTTTTGTTACAGAGTCTGGATATGGATTATTTTTCTAATCTTCCTATATCTGTAGATTTTTTTTATCAGTTTAAAAATATATCTCAGCCATTACCTCTTTACAAATCACTTGTCCTCTGATTTCTTTACTTCAGAGACTACAGACTTATTTTGTTTTCCATTTCTTGTAACTTTTTCATCTTTTCCATATCCATTTGTCTGTATACCTTTTAGATTAGGAGCTGGTACACTTTTTTTGTTAAAGTTTTTATAGTAAATATATTAGGCTTTGGAGACCAATAGACAAAAATTCAAGGATATTCTATAGGTACTTATTTAAGAGAGAAAATTCCTGCCCCATGCTATTGCCTAGGGTGGGCCATTCTGCCTCATGGACATACTTTGTGCTCATTTGTTGAGACAGTCTCTGGATGAAATGAATAGCCTGACAAGGAAGGCCTGGTGGAACAGATGGATAGGGAGAAGCACCAGATTCGGTTTTACTTTTTCTCTCAGTGACACCCAGATCCCAGCATGCCCATCTCTCCTACAGAGATTCTGGCATTGGTCACATTATTGAGCTGTGATGCCTAGCCAGTGCCAGTATATAGACGATAACCCATGTGGGCCCTGGACAGTGCTGCAACATGCCCACTAGCAGGCAATAGGGAATAGAGGGGTTCAGGGGCCACTGTACTCTAGTCTCCATGTTTCATAGTGTTAGCCTACTGGAGAAGTGTTCATGGGCTGTACAGAAACAGGTATAGAGGTGTCACTCAGTGACAGAACACATGCTTAATGCATGTAGCCTCAGTTCAGTTCCCAGCCACAAACCAAGAAGGGGGCTGGAATTGACTCACAGGCTATAACTTGCTGGTCCCTGTTAAAAACAACTCAGTTTTTCTTCCAGTTCAATAATTCTTTCCTTAGCTATGTATATTGTTTAGCCTGTTCATTTAGCTTAATTCTAAATATAATTTTTATTTCTTTAAAGCCCCATTTGGTTCTTTTTTCTAATTTGCTTCCCAGTATCATGTCTTCTTTTCTTTACTCAGTTCTTTTCTTTAAATATTGAACAAGTAATTAACTTATATAGGGTGTCTGAGAATTCTCCCAGTATCTGAGAACATCAGAATCTAAATCCTTTTGTTTATTTTTTTTGTTGGTTGTTACCAATTATAGATACGAGTCATAAATCTGAGGCTTTGTTTACAATACTGGCATAATGGCTATTTGGCCATTTGTAGCACTAGCCTTGAAATGGCAATGAATTCAGGCTTAGGGCACGACATTTAGGCTTTTCGGCATCTATTTGTGCAGGGTGCTTCCCCATTCCCCTTGATCAGAGATTCACAGACATAGGTGGAGACAAGGTAGGTATTCCACACCACATGTTTGTTCCAAATAATTCAGTTTTCTCTCCTATTTCTATAGCTTGCTAACAAGGGGATAATGTGGCTTTTGAGATACAGATATTTAGGCAGCTTGAAAATGGAGGGAGGCACACTTCTTCGGGGGATATTTATAACTTTATACTTCTCCAACCTGGGAGGCGGTAAATTTCCAGCTGTCATAAAGAATCAGTGGGGAGGGTTCTATATCCCCAACATTTTCTATATTTTTTTCTTAGGTCTACAAGGAAGTCTTCACGAGGAGCAGTGAGAACCCAGCGTCGTCGACGTTCTAAGTCTCCTGTCCTTCATCCTCCAAAGTTCATACATTGCAGTACAATAGCATCTCCTTCCAGCAGCCAGCTCAAGCACAGAAGCCAGACTGACCCCCCTGATGGCAGCAGTGGGCTGGGAATATCAACTCCTAAAGAGTTCAGTACAGGAGAAAGCTCTGCTTCACTTGATGCCAATCACACAGGGGGAGTTGTTGAGCCTTTGGGAACTTCAGTTCCAAGGCTCTCATCAGAGAGTAAGACAGAAGACTCCTGTGATGCTACCCAAGTCTCCCACACAAGTCTCAAGGCCAGCGATCTCTCTGACTTTCAATCTGTTTCCAAGCTAAACCAGGGCAAGCCATGTGCATGCATAGGCAAGGAGTGCCAGTGTAAGAGATGGCATGATATGGAAGTGTATTCCTTTTCAGGCCTGCAGAATGTTCCTCCCTTGGCCCCAGAACGAAGATCCACACTTGAGGACTACTCTCAGTCGCTGCACACCAGAACTCTGTCTGGCTCGCCCCGTTCCTGTTCTGAGCAAGCTCGAGTCTATGTGGATGATGTGACCATTGAGGACCTATCAGGCTACATGGAATATTACTTGTATATTCCCAAGAAAATGTCCCACATGGCAGAAATGATGTACACCTGATAGTAAGAAGCTAATTCACATGCTTTAAACCAATGAAGGGTTGTCAAAGAGATTTAGTTAATGGCAGACCTTGTGGCTACTTTGTGTGAGAAGACATCTTTCGGCTCACTGTGCTTGCAATAAAAACTTTTCTTGGCATCTCAGTTAATCTTCATTCTTTAAACTTACTCTAGTTTTTTCGTACCCATCAAGGTAAACAGATCAAAGAAAGTCCCCCTCCTCTAGAGTGTTCATGGGGAATGAAAAAAACCGTAATTTCTTGAGACTGGTAGTAGTGGGTGTACAGAGAAAACCTTTTGTAAAACAGCATTTTTTACTGTGTAAGATTGGATAGCCAAGGAAAGTCAGTTTTGTAACTGAACTAAACACTTGCCATGTTGTCGTGCCAGCCTGCAGTATTAGAAGTTGCAAGACTGATTTAAACCATATCTGATTTAATGCAGGATTTGTGCCATTACAGGTTTCTTATGTTTTTTGTTGAGCCAGAGGTCTAAGGTTTAGGTTCAATATGAATAAACTAGCCAGCCTGCCTTATATTGTTTAGAGTTAGTAACCATCACTAAAAAACCTCTAGTGTTTACTTATCCTGAGATATGCTATGTGAAGTTTTTCAAGTAAGAAGCTGCTTGGAGTGGGCTGCTTCATTTGGAGGGAGGGGGTGTAGTATTTGACACTTGTGTGCATCTTCTGTCTAATGTTTTTATGTGGCATGTTTCTTGCCATCAGTTTTAGTGTAGGGTCTCATTCCTCAGTTTCAAATGGTCTGGATGTTTATTATCTCTAAACTGTCCTCTCAGCCAGCAACCCAAAAGAGAATTTTGTACATGCTGTATTTAATACATTTCTGGTCAACCACCCTACATTCCTCTCCATACTTTGGTATAAAATAAAAATAATTTTAAAATCTCAGTTTCAACAGAAGGACAAATCCTTATCTTTTTTCAGATGTTTCCACGATGGGTTTTTGTATATACTCATAGTTTATATTTTAATTCACAGCATCTTAAGTATAGTCACCAAATTTTAGTGAAAATTCTAGCCATGTTAACATTAAGAAATTTCTTTTACTTTTAGATTTCAAAATAATCTTTCACCGCTTACTAAAACATCCCACTGGTTGTACAGTTGATTCATGACAGTGGGGTCAGGGCTTCACAAATGAGTGATTTGTACTTGGGGGTAGTATTAGAAAAGCTCTGAGCTTGTGGAAGACCCCTGCTAGTTTCTATTTCAGTGTGGAAGCTGTGATTAGAGCAAAGAAGCAAAACGCCATGACAGCACTAAATGCTGTGACATTTCTTAATGGTGACAGAAGACATGCACTACTTTGTACATATAAGGCAGCAATTCTCCAACTTTTCATTCTCCTTTATACTTAAAAATTTGGGACCCTATAGAGATTGTTTATGTGGATTACAGCTTAATATTTATCAGAAATTAAAACTAATAAAATTTTTAAATATTGCTTAAAAATAATGAAAACATTTCAAACTAACATAAGTATCATTTTAGAATTCAAAATAGCTTTAACAAAACAATTTTTTTTGGTGGGGGGTATATCGGGATTTGAACTCAGAGGCACTCAACCACTGAGCTACATCCCCAGCCTTTTTTTATTTTATGAGTTGCTTGGTGCCTCCCTATTGCTGAAGCTGGCTTTGATCCTCCTGTCAGCCTCCACACCTGTGGGGATTACTGGCTACACCACCTTACATTTTTGCAAATCTTTTGTTTGGCTTCATAGAAGAAAAATTCTCATGTCTGCTCCTGCATTCAGTCTCTTGGGATATCACATTATTTTATCTCCAGTAAACTCCACTGTATACTCGTGAGAGAATAATGTCTTAGTGCCATGAAAACTATTTGGCCTGTCAGGTTCCTTAAAATGGTCTCAAGATGTCCAGGGGTTCCCAGATCATGATTTGAGAACCATTCAAGAGACCATGTAAGCTGGTTGTAAAAGTACTACCCCACCCATAAATAATTTTTTCTCACCTTATTTTTTTTTTTTACTGGAGAGTAGGGGATTGGACTCAGAAGCACTCAACCACTGAGCCATCTCCTGTTGCCAATAGCCAGGCTGGCGACCTCAGCTGGGTTCACAAGAGCTGGCTGCACCAATAGCTTAAGAAAACAGCTAAAGTAGCATGCAACACAGAAATACCTTTTGCTTGCAGGAATCAGGGATGTGCAAGAGCAAGCCTGAGACCCTATTTATTGAGGGGAAGGCACCCAAATGAGGCAAGGGATTGGGTTTCATGGGGTGTAGCCCAATTTCATTGGGTGACGCCCACTCCCAGAACTTCCTTCCCCTGCAGATTGGAGGTGAGGTCCACTTGTTTCCACCTACAGCAGAAACAAAATCTCACACCCTAAGGGTCCGTGCTCACGCCTATGTGGCAGCTCCTGACAATGTCCTCAGCCTTTTTTGTATTTTATTTACAGACAGGGTCTCAGTTGCAATCTTGCATCTATGTGGATAATATGACCATTGAAATGTAATTAAGTAGCTCACTACTTAAAGTAAAAGGAATCAAGTCTTTAAGTCCTTTTGGTTTGCTTTTCAAACCAGGGGTCTGTTTTTGTATTGTTTTTGTATTTTCTTCATGCTATAAATACAGCAATCACCAGAGAATGAAGAGTGGTATTGTTCTTTTTTTCTACAATGTTATTAGGTAGTGTAAAAGGGACTGAAAAGGACAATATTGACCTTGGAAAACTGCTGAAGTCCAATTTGAATGAAAATTTAGATATTCCAGGTTTGTGGGAATACATTTTATCTCAGTCGAACTCTCAAAACACAAATCTTGAAGTTGAACATTACTCTGCTCAGACCCAATTGGGCCAACGTCAGTACTGGCTTTGTTTTGTGGATACCGTTTACCAACCTTATTATCTACTTTCTCTGATGCTGCCTGGAAAATGGATTTGGTTTGTGAATTGAGGGATTGTTTAAACTACTCTGGCAGAATGGCACCCTGATTTCCACATGCTTTTATTTCACCATTCTTCAGTCATTCATTCATTCACCCAAATAAGTTTAAGTGTCTGCAACACATCAGGCCCATTTTACTAGGTGCGGGTAGAACTGTAGACAGAGCAACCTCTTTGCATAGCAGAGGAAAGCTGATGCACATGTAACTGCTACGGAAGAAAGAAGGATTAGGAGATAGGAAAGGCTGAGGTGGGAGGTTGGGAATTCCAACTTTATTTGTGGTCATCAGAGAAACTTCTATGATAATGTGACATTTGAGTACAGGGACACATTTGGAAGAGGAACATTTTCTGCAGAAGGAACCATGAGAATATTAATGTAGCTTGAGCAGGCGGGGCCGGGTCGTGGAGGGCCTGGTAGCCGCTTTAAAGGCTTTAGCTCCTAGTATAAATGAGATGGAAGGTGAGTGGAGAAGAGAGATGTTACGGATACTCACCTTTTAAAACCATCAGCTGTTGAGTGTGGGAAGGTCCTAGAGGGCAATCAGGAGGCTACCATGAATTAGACAATGGCTTTTTGGTGGTTGGACATTAGGCAGTGCAGGATATGCAGGGGTTTGCTGATGGATTGGGTATAGGGTATGAAAAAGACAAGTATACAGGATGAAATCCAAAGCTTTTAAGAAGTTGGGAGTTGAGTGGTGCAGATTTGGGAGGGGAAATTGGGATTTGGGTTTTCTTTTTGTCAAGCCTGAGATTCTTATGAGTTATGTAGAGATGTCAAGTAGGTGGTTGCATAATGACTGAAATCAGAAGAGAGGTAGGATGGAGAGGCTAGGAGCCATCAGTACCTGGATGTTTATAAAGCTATGAGACTAGAGGTCACCAATGCAGTGAATGTACATCACTAAGTCAGGAGGGAGTGGGGCTTGATGTCAAAAGACGGAAGACCAGTGAAGTAGAAGGAGATTAAGGGGAACTGCAAAGGGGAGGAAATACAGATTTGTCAAATGCAAAAAAAAAAAAAATAATAATTTTTAAGAATTTTTTATATTTATTTTTTAGTTATAGTTGGACAGTGTCTTTATTTTACTTTATATGTTGCTGAGGATCGAATCCAGTGCCTTACACATGCTAGGCGAGCGCTCAACCTCTGAGTCACAACCCCAGTCCTCAAATGCAAATTTGATAAAATTACTTTATGTGCATGTATGAATATACCACAGTGAATTCCACCTTTATGGATATTTATAAAGCACCAATTAAAAATATATAAATGAGGTACAAGGTAGACCAGTAAAGAGAAGGGAAATAGGAAGAGGGAGGAATGGAGGGAAAGGGAGACACCTGAGAATGGAAATGGAGTAAATCAAGTTCAAGGCATGTATGATTATGTCAGAACAAACCTAACCATTACAAACCATTACAACGCACCAATAAAACAAACAGAAAACAGCTGAGCTCCAGAACATTCCCAAGGTACAGAGATAAGGGAAAAGGGAGGACAAAGCAAAGCAAGTGAAGAGACCCTAAAAATCAACTGAAAAAACATTTTGAGAAGAGAGTCCTCAGCCGTTGGGGAGTACCTACTGTGTGCAGGCGTAGGTGGGCCAGCTCCACCCCACAGGAGTTGTTCTTGAATGTTTTTGGAAAGAGAATCCTTACTTGAAGGCTCTCTTGATTGGGGAGAGGAGGCAGCTTGTGATACGGCCATTTATCTGTGAGTCCTGCTTCCCCGCGTGTTGAAGTTTGAACGTTAGAGAAGCACTCGGAGGCAAGCATATGAGGCAGGGCTTATTTAAGAAGGGGTAACATAGACTTCTCCTGCAAGGGAGAAGGGAGCCATAGCTGGTATCATGGTATCCCAAAAGGCAAGGTGTTCTGCCCTTTTTACGTGTCCTAGGCTTCCTTTGTTCTCCTGCCTTTCCCCCCTTATCTTTCTCCTTCCTGTGTACGTGACTAGGCCCAGGAATGCTCAGTGGTGTGGCCAAAAGGTGGGAAATAGGTGGGCTGAAGGGGGAAGGGCAGGGTGGAGTAGAACAGGACACTTTAACAACCTTATAGCTCCCTGTGTGTGGGGGGCAGAATTCCTGGGACGGGTTACCTTGGCAACAGGGTGGTGCAGGGGCAGGTTCTTGATAAGATCCCTCAGGGGACAGTCTCCAGCTTCCCAGACTCACTCAAAATTGGCCTCCTTGACCCGACCTCGATTTACCTGTCTACACTGACTGCCTGTCTAATTCTGGCTTCACTTTTGGGAAGCGCTGCTGACCCAGCCAGGAAAGGTTCATGGGAAGGGAGGCTCCCTTGGCTGGGCCCTCAGTGTCTCCAAACTCAATCCCCTTCCTGCTCTGGATTTGCCCTCCCCTCCTCACAGGCCCCTTGGGAAACAGCCCAGCTTGAGAAGCAGAGGAGGAAACCGGAAGGAGGTGACTGACTCTGAGCAAACCAGAGCTAGGGAAAGAACAAAGGATGGGGAGGAAGAAAGAGTGTGAAAGCTGCCTTTAAAAACAGTTGACAATTCATTTAAGTTTAGTAAATTCCGTTTAGTGTGAAGTGCTTTCCTAAGGAAAATCTGTGTAACACACGTATGGCCACAAGGGGTCCCTCTTCCCTGAAATGCACAGGATTGAATGGAAGGACCAAAGCTTGATGACCTGGCTGGAAACCTCTGGCAGGTAACAGCCAGTGCCAAATTTGGAGATCTGAATTTTACCTAAACTTTTGCAAAGTCAAAGTGTCCCTTTACTAGTGACTTGGTTTAGCAGTTTAAAAAAAAACAAGAAACCACAGGGTAATGTGGAGTGAACATGTAGTGGGAGGAGAATGCTTAATGTTTAATGTTTAGTTCCTCTTTGATCAGCACCTTAATGAGACCCTGTCTTAAAATAAAAGATAGGGCTGGGGATGTGGCTCAAGCGGTAGCACGCTCGCCTGGCATGCGTGCGGCCCGGGTTCAATCCTCAGCACCACATACCAACAAAGATGTTGTGTCCGCCGAGAACTAAAAAAAAATAAATATTAAAAATTCTCTCTCTCTCTCTCTCTCCTCTCTCACTCTCTCTTTAAAAAAAATAAAAGATAAAAAGGGCTGAGGATGTAGCTCAGTGGCAAAGCACGCTGGGGTTCCATCCCCAGTACAAAAAAAAAATTAAATTGTCCCTCTTTGGCAACTATTTTATTAAACATGATGGTCTGAAAAGGAATTTGTTATGAGAATAACAGAGTAATGGCTATTGTTTGCTAGGTATTATTCTTAGGTGCACATTTCTTAGGTATCTAGTGCATCCTAAGACTTTTTTTTTTTTGACACCAGGGATTGAACCCAAGGTTGCTTAACCACTGAGTCACATCCCCAACCCTTTTTAAAAATATGTTTTTTAATTGTAGATGGACACAATATCTTTATTTATTTTTATGTGGTGCTGAGGATCTAACCCAGTGCCTACATGTGCAAGGCAGGTGTTCTACCACTGAGTTACAGCCCCAGCCCCCCTAGCCCTTTTTGTATTTTATTTAGAGACATGGTCTCACTGAGTTACTTAGTGCCTTACCTTTGCTGAGGTTGGCTTTGAATTCGCCATCCTCCTGTCTCAGCCTCCCGAGCTTCTGGGATTACAGGCGTGTGCCACCATGCACGGCCCCCTAGCCCTTTTTATTTTGCATTTTGAGTAAGGGTCTTGCTAAGTTACTTAGGACCTCGATAACTCAAGGTCTCACTGAATTACTTAGCGCCTCGCCATTGATGAGGCTGGCTTTGAATTTGTGATCCTCCTGCTTCAGCCTCCAGAGCCGCTGGGATTGTAGGAGTATGCACCACACCAGGGAATCCTGTCTTTTTATAATGACAACTCATGTGATCTTCACTTAGCCACATAAGACAGATACAATTAACCTTGTTACCAATGATCTTTTGAGGTAGATGCTTCTACACATGAAGGAATTATGACTTACAGAAAGTGAGCAATTGTTCCAGCCATACAGCTCAGGAGTATGGATTGGAATATATATCTAACTCCAAAACTACCTACCCTATGCAGCCTGTAGGAGTCATGAATGTATCATTTTGCCATTTGTTTTTAACCACAGATGAGGGTCAGATTTATCTAGGGAGCTTTAAAAAGAATACAAATACGAAAGTCCTCTCCTAGGAGCGACTAATTCCTTAGGTCTATGGTGAACTCTGGAATCTGGTTTGAAGTTCTTCAGGTGATTCTTTTGTGTGCTCTCCCTGGGGAGATCCATCACAGGGGGCTACTGGGCATGAAAAGTGGCTTCCTGTATGTGATGGAACAGCTTGCCAGGCGCACCTCACCTTACAACAGCATCACACACAGTGTGTTGTAGACCTGCCCTTAATGACAGGGGGCATGGAACTTGCGACACACTCCTTTCAATTTGACACCCCCATTCATTCCTCTTCCCTTGATAGCAGAGCTGAAAAGAAACCTGTGGTTCTCAAACCCTCGAAGAGAAGTGGAGAAAGCGGAGCTACTAGGAGGAAGTGCGTGTCCTAGGAGCAGGCTGTCTGTCCACCTGCCCAGGTGACAGTTTTTATCCACTGCCATTTGCTATGAGGGAAGCTGGTGTCTCTACCTGGTGGTGAAATGTGAACACCAAAGGGACTTTTTAAGGTCTGCACTGGTACATGGAGGAGCCCAGTCATGAGGGTGGCCCATCAGCTGAGTGGGAAGGAGAGAACATTTCCTACCCATTTCTGACACACGGACGACTCTGCAGTGACTTTATGTGGCGTGAGTCATCACGGGATTTGGAAATCTGTCAGATATGTTTGAAGTCAGATAATAATTTAATGCTTTCCAGTCCCTTCGCTGTTTTTGGTGATTTCTACTCCACCCCCACCCCCGCAGCTCTTATTCTTCCCAGGACGACTGTCCCCTCCCGTTAACCCTGGACTCCAGTGGAGTTCTCCACCACTAACCCCAGCCTTAGCTTCTAGACACGGAAATGCATTCGTTTTTTTTTCTGGAGTTTGGTGGGAGCCTGAGCGCTGGGAAGCCACCCAGGCCCTGGGCTCTTGACCCTGCCCCAAGAGCTTTCCCAAGGGTGGCCCCACAGGCTCCGAGGACACTAGAGCAAAAGAGAGCTTGGAAAGGGAAACTTCGTAAAAGTCACCGTCCTTTGGTTTCGGAGGGGACCTGGTCCCCACAGAAACCCCACCCCAGCGACTGCGCGGAGGGGGCGGGGCTTCCCGCAGGGCGGGGCTTGCCCTTCTGGCCCAGAGGCCGCTGGGCTGGGGGTTGCCCCCGCTCTCCCCGCTCCCAGGCGGCAGGGGCTTGGGTGTGGGCTGCAGCCCTGGACTCGGAGTTGCTGAATCCGCCGTCTGTCACCAGAACCCCACCTCTCCTTCTGAGCTCCTCTTTGCTGTCAAAAGCATAAGTGATCCCGTCCCCGTTCCTTTGGCTTTAGGTCACCGGATTCCTGGATGGGGTCGGCAGTGGCGCTGCAGCCCCAGGTCCTGTTAGGGCAAACGAGCTGGGTGGTGGCGAGGCTGGCGAACCTCTGAGCTCTGGAGAAGTTGAAGTGTCCCAGGGCCCGGCATTGGCAGGTCCTCGTCTCCGCTCCCTGCTGGGACAGGGTGGAGGGAGCTCTTACCCCTGGGGACACAGGACACCCAGGGGCCTGGGCTTCTACTCTTACTTCTCAGCTGCCTTCCTCAGCCCTCCGGCCACCACCTGGGTCTGCAGCCACCAGCTCGGTTTGAAACACCCCTCCCTCCAGCTTAGAAGGAGGCCGGGTTGGCCGGGGGGTTATTTTGGGAGCAGCTTCTGAGATCCAATGGCCTTGTTAGGGCAACACTGACCTTTCTGTCCCGGGGGAGGGCAGGGCTGGAGAAGGGGCGGGGCAGCGCGGCGGGACGATCGCAGCCCGCACACCCACCGGGTGGAGGAGAAGGGGGCCAGCGGCCTCGGCTGGGGCTGCCACCCAGGGGATTGCCCCTCTTTGAATCAGTGGGTCCCCTCTGCCCCCACCCCTTTCCCTGTGCTTCTTAAAGGGATCTCACCGTTTTTCCTTGGATTTCATGGAAGCCAGACTTGGGACGTTTTGTGGGGACTTGGAGTCTTTCCTTCCTGTTTCCTCTGCAAGAGGCAGCCTTCCTTCCTGGGGCTGACTGAGGAGGCTCCCAGGCATGGCACTGCCCAGTGTCCCCAGTGCTGACCTGGCTCTTGGGCTCTTTCAGCCTCTGCTGGCATCTTGCTTCCCCCCTCCTGGGGCATGGTGGTGAGTCTGGGGGCCCAGCCCTGAGGGTGCCTGGAGAGTGTCACCCCCTGCACCCAAGCTGGAGGACGGGGAGGGTGTTGGGGGCGAGGATGAGATGAGCGGGGGCCGCTTCGACTTTGATGATGGCGGGGCGTACTGTGGGGGCTGGGAGGGGGGGAAGGCCCACGGGCATGGACTGTGCACTGGCCCCAAGGGCCAGGGCGAATACTCAGGCTCCTGGAACTTTGGCTTCGAAGTGGCCGGCGTCTACACCTGGCCCAGTGGAAATACCTTCGAGGGATACTGGAGCCAGGGCAAGCGGCATGGGCTGGGCATAGAGACCAAGGGGCGCTGGCTCTACAAGGGTGAGTGGACACATGGCTTCAAGGGGCGATACGGAACCCGGCAGAGCACCAGCAGCGGCGCCAAGTACGAGGGCACTTGGAACAATGGCCTGCAGGATGGCTACGGCACTGAGACCTATGCAGATGGAGGTGAGCCCACCCTGGGGCCTGCAGAGCTGGGGTTGGGACAGAGGGTGAGGAACACTGGAGGAGGGTGAGAAGGGTGAGGGCAGTTGGCACAGAATCAGGTGAGTAGGATGGGATTTGCTGTGTGGCCTTGGGCAAGCTGCTCTACCTCTCTGAGCATCCATTTCCTTATTAGTAAAGGTGGGGCCAATGAAGGGATTATTGTGAAGATTGGCAGATACAAGGCCTATCATATAAATATACACTTAACACACAATCACTAAAATGCAAGTACTGCTCTTGGCATGCTAGGTCTATAAGCAATTGTGGAATAGACTGTAGCTTAGGTTCTAGCAGAATTGGGGTCTGGTCTCAACTTTGCCATGAAAATTATTTTCAAGTAATAGATTATGAGATGTGTGTGTTTATTCATTCACTCACCCAGCCTCCTGCACATCCACTCAGCCACCCAGCCATCCACCCATCTATCATCCACCCACACACTCACCCATTCTTTCCTTCTTCCTTCCTTCCTTCCTTCCTTCTTTCCTTCCTTCCTTCTTTCCTTTCTTCCTTCCTTTTTAGTGCTGGGAATTGAACCCAGGAGTGCTATACCAATGAACTACATCCCTAGTCCTTTTTATTTTGAAACAGGGTCTTGCTAAGTTGCTAAAGGTCTCTCTCAGTTGCTGAGGCTGGTCTTAAATGTGCAATCCTCCTGCCTCAGGCTCCATGTGTTTTATTTTTCATTCAATGCATGTTCCTGGGGGTACTTCTTATTTGCCAGGTATTTGTGCAAAGGATCGGATATGAGAACAAGATACAGTGTCTGGCTTCAAAAACAATTATACACCAACACCCACAGAGAGCTGTGGCAGAACAGAACAGTTAGGTTTGAGGAGGGCAGGGGACACTTTAGAGTATGTGACTCCTGACTGCAGTGTGATGGGAAAGGAGTGACTGTGGAGTGGCAGTTGGGGACGATCGCAGCAGAGAGAGGAGTTTGTATCAAGGCTCAGGAGCATGAGAGGAATAGTGGGTTCAGAAAATAGAGTCCTCTGTGGCAAAACAGCCCCCGGAAGTGGCAGGGCAGATATCCTTACCTCATCTGCTGGGTGTGACCTGAAACCTATCACTTACCTGAGCCTCAGTTTCCTCATTCATAACAAGGGGTTCTTTAGAACATCAGTTCTGCTAAAATGGTGGTCAGTGGACAGGCAGCATGGGCATCACCTGTCCCCCAGGCGCAGGTGCCCGTTCAGGGCTCCTTGCAGATCTTCTGAACCAGAATCTCTGAGCAAGGGTGGAGAGAGCTGGTTTAACAAGCTCACCAGGCAGATTTTAAACATGTTAAGGTTTTTAAAGTATTGCTTTATAGGTGCAAGGCACCTGCCTATGTCCCAGCTCCTGGGGAGACTGAGGCAGGCAGAGTGCTTGGGAGTTTGAGTCCATTCCTGGCAACATAGCAAGACCACATCTCAGAAAAAAAAAAAGGAAAAGAAAAAGTATTGGTTTAAACCAGGGGCTCACAGACTATAGATCCCAGGCCAAGCTGGCCCACTGCCTGTTTGGTGTAGCGTGTGTGCTGAGAGCAGTTTTACATATTAGTTATTTGGGGAAAAAAATCAAAGAACCATATTTTGGGACATATTAAAGTTACATGGAAGTGCTGCACAGCGTCCTCGGTTTTGCCTCTTGTTATGACTCCTCATAGCAAAAGTTCCTTGGCGCCTGCTGGTGACGGTCCTTGTAGTCCCGTACCTACGACCTGTGTCCTCTGTGTGGTCTTCCCAGCTGCTGCGCAGCTAAAAACTGTGGCTAATTAGAAAACAATCACATCGGCACCAGAAGGCATTTGCAGGAAATCATATTTGTCACCAGTGCACCCGCTTGATGACAGAAGACAGGAAGTGGGCATTCTGGGAGCGAGGGGGGTGCTGGAGGGGTGGCTGCAAGGCTCAAGCCGAGGCCAGTGGGCACTCTGAGCGCAGCCCGGGCTGAGGGTGGGTTTGTCTGAGTGAGGACCCTGAGGAACGCCCCGGGAGGATTCTGCATGTTAGTGGGAGACGACATTGGGGGTCTTTGTGGGTGTGCACATCTGACGGCTTTAAAACCCTGGCTGGAACTGGACAAGGCTAAGGACAGGTTCTGGCTCCACCACTTGCTAGTTGGTGACCTTGAACCGTTTGCTGACTCTCTCCAACTAAGGGCAACTCAGCTCACCTGATGTGTCCGCCAGGAGCTGTGCTTGGCTTTGAGGACAGCAGAGAGCCAGCCTCAGTGTCTCTAGCTGTAAAATGGAGAAAATTCTTGAGCGCTCGCTAGGTGTCTGTCACCTCTGCAAAGGTGCATTGTGGGCATGCGCCCAGTGTCCTCTCCTGTCCCTCTTTGCTCTCTCCAAACCAAGGAGAGATAAGAGTGTGGATCTGGGTGTGAGTCCCAGGGACACGAGTTGCTGGTCGAGGTGAGCATGAGAAACCATAGGCTGATCTTCCAAAATGTTTAAAAGGCAGAAAGAAACCCCTCCATTCGTTCCCTTGTGCTCTCTGTGTGGCTGGGCTCCGCTCTGTGCCAGGCTCTGCCCCCAGCAAGTTCTAGGGTCCTCCAGGAGCCCAGTCTAGTGGAGCAGATGGAAATAAGCCAGAAAACAACCACCTGTGTGATTTCCTGAAGTTACTAGGGGCACACACACAAAAAGTAGCAGAGGGAAGAGAGTGAGTGTGTTGGGACAAGGTGGCCTCGGAAGCAGGATGGGGAGGCTAGAGAGGAGGCAGCCTCCATCAGAGGCTACTGCCATGCAAAGGTGACCTGGGGCAAGTCTGGGCATGGCACGTTGGAGGCACAGCAAGAACTCCGGGTGGCGGGGAAGGAGCCCTGAGCGTGGGGGTCCAGGGAGGGGTGCTGGTTGGGACCGTGGGCGTGGGCCAGCTCTCCCAGGCTTCGCTGACCTGCTATTGTCCCAGGTGTGCCCAGGAGCTCTGGAGGCTGTAACTGGACACCTGTCCCTCTGGTTTGTCAGGGGCCCAGACTTCTCTGGAATGACATGGCTGCACAGGCAGGGTCCCTGGAAACCTCACAGATTCTCTCTCCCAAGCCGCACACGAGGTGTAACTGCCCAAAATTAGCCGTGGCCACTGCTTTGGAAAATCTCTTTAATCAACCTGTCATCGGTCCCCTGAGGGTTTGTTAAGGACCTGCCCTCTGCCCTATCCTGGGGAGCGCTGAGGGGAATGTGGACAGATGAGATCCCGTGGTCAGGATCAGTTGGGAGCCGGGCAGCCGGGGTCATTGGCTGCCTCTGGGTTATTCCGTCTCTTTCAGTCCTAATTTCCTCATGAGTAAGGTGGACCTGTCCTAACCGCTCATGAGATTTCTCATGAAATGATGGAGAACACTCAGTAAATGCTAGTTATGCTTATTACTACTAGTTGTTCAATTAATATAGACGGCATAATTACTAGGAAGCCAGATCCAGTCTACACTGGGAGGTGCACAGGTGACCTACGTGGACAGGCTCTGCCTTCACCCAGGACCTAATGAGACATGGTGCTGAAGTGCAGTGCTGGGCCCGAGACGCAGGGGCAGACAGGGGACTAAGAGAGCCTGAGTGGGGAACTCCCCGACTTAGCCATCCAGGGAGGCTTCCTGGAGTAGGCAGCAAGCCGAGCCCTGAAGTATGTGTGGGAGCAAGTCTGACAACCCCAGGTGGAAGGAGGGGTCCATCAAAGCCAAGAGGCTGCTGCTCAGCCAGGAAGATAAAGCCAAATGACCTTATTTATTTATTATTTATTTTTGGTACCAGGTATTGGACCAGAGGGACTTCCCCACAGAGCCACATTCCAGCCCTTTTTATTTTTATTTTTTAAAATTTTGAGCAGGGTCTCACTAAGTTGCTTAGAGCCTCCCTAAGTTGCTGAGGCTGGCCTCCTGCCTTGGCCTCCCGAGTTGCTGGGATTCCAGGAATGCACCACCGGGCCGAGCTTTGACTGGGCATCTCATCTCCAGCACTGAGAAGGGTTCCCTGCTCCCCACCTTCCCTTGCAGTCAGCACTACTACAGGTCAGTGCCTGCTCAAAACCCGGGGAAACAGCAGCTTGCCAGACTGAAGAGGCAGGAGGTGAAATTGATTTAGGAGTCAAGACCTAAGCTTTTCAAAATGAAAGAATAGAATAGAAATTATGAAATTTCTGTATGTCACAGAAAATAAGATAAAGTATTATTTCCTGAAATGTTTGGTGTGTGTGTGTGTGTGTGTGTGTGTGTGTGTGTGTGTGTTATAAATTCAGTTCTTTCTGCAGATCATGGCCAAAAAGTTTGTCCTAAAGTCTTGATTGGCCTCTAGGAAGCCCCTGCCGTTCTACCTCTGTGGAGCCTCCCCCTCCTCCAGCCATGGCTTTGTTTGCAGGTTCAGCTCTTCAGCTCTGGCATGGGAGGCCGGAGGTGGGGAAGGAACATGGGCTCCGGCCTCCCAAACCCTGCTGCAGGCCACTTGGCACCCCTCCCCCTCCCATGGCCCTCATTCCTCCCCTGGCCATATAAAGCAAAGCTAAAAATAGCTGCTGACTTAAAGCGGCACACGCATACCCCTGCCCTGGAGTCTCAGTGTGCAGTCGCTGCCTGACTGTTCCCACCCCCAGGGTCACACACTCCAGCCCTGAAGGCTACTCCGGTCCTTGCTTCCCAGTGGACTTGACCTGGGTGCTCCGGTCCTTGCTTCCCAGTGGACTTGACCTGGGGCCTCTGCCTTGGCCTCAGGATGTCCAGAGATGTCCCAAAGCTGCAGTCAAGATGTGTTCATATGTGCATCAATTATCTGTGTTATCTGTGTTTTTCTGGGAGATATCTTTGCAGATAGTTGTTGGTTTCTTAAAGTCACCCCATGCTCAGATAAATTCCACAACCACTGCTTAGTCCAATAGCCAAAATGTGCTGTGGATGGGGCTGGGGCTGTAGCTCGGTGGTAAAATGCTTGCCTCGAATGTGTGAGGCACTGGGTTCAGTCCTCAGCAGCACATCAATATAAA